TGACACTGTCTAACCATCTCATCCTTTGCCGTCCCCGTCTTCTTTGACCTTCAATCTTTCCCAGCATCAGGGTTTTCTCCAGTGAGTGCAAACATGTCTTTCAAATGCCGGGAAAGATGCCTGGCTTTAAAGTTTGATGCGAACGTATCAAGCAAGCTAGTACTGTGAAAGGGTCATTATGGCTCCTGATTCTGCCACTTTCTCCAGATACTTGGTGACATATCTCTGCAGGTCTGCTATTGGTTCACTGACTTCAGCCTTTGAGAAGTTCCTGGTGGTGATGCACTGTGCTAAAACTGATGCTGCTTTTGGAAGAGCAGTTCTTCAGAGCCTGTTTCTTCAAGACGACCTGCAGATAACATCAGGTACATGGCTCCCTAGTCATCAAATCACCGCAGACTGTGACTGCAGCCATGAAATTAAAAGACGCCTGCTCCTTGGGAGGAAAGCGATGGCGAACCTAAACAGCATGATAAAAAGTAGAGACATCACCCTGCCAACAAAAGTCTGCATGGTCAAAGCAATGGTATTCCCAGTAGTCATGTGTGGCTGCGAGAGTTGGACTATAAGGAAGGCTGAGCGCCGAAGAATAGATTCTTTTGAACTATGGTGCTGGAGAAGACTCTTGAGAGTCCCTTGTACTGTAAGAAGATCAAATCAGTCAATCCTAAAAGAAATCAACCCTGACTGTTCCCTGGAAGGCCAGATAATGAAACTGAAGCTCAAATACTTTGGCCACCAAATGAGAAGGGAGCACTCACTGGAGAAGACCCTGATGCTTGGAAAGATTGAAGGTCAAAGAAGACGGGGATGGCAAAGGATGAGATGGTTAGACAGTGTCAAAGTTGCAATGAACATGAAATTGAGCCAACTTCAGAGGACGGCGGAAGACAGGAAGGCCTGGCGAGAGCTGGTCCATGGGGTCGTGAAGAGTCGGACTCGACTGTGTAACTGAACAACAACAAAATAGGACTCTGGGGAAGGGAGCTCTGCGAGGTAGCAGGCCCCATTCCAGTGATGAAATGTCCCAGTTCCAGTGACAAAGTTTCTGGAACAGGGGAATAAACAGGCAAGTTTAGCAGATGTGCGTGGAGAGCGCTAGTGGCACTTTTTCCTATATCTATATCTAAGTTTTAATATAAACCTATCAAAAAGGCTAAGTAAAAAGGGTTAAAATAGTACGGAGGGTAAAGAGTTGAAAATACCTTTAGGCACCAACATTTTGTCACTTCTCAGTGTTGTAGCTACTCAAACTACTCAGATGTAGCTAGTTTTAGTTCTAAACAGACTTAGAGGTTCTCGTTAAACAGAAGCTCAAACAAAGGATAAGGATTAAAATTGAGGGCACAGGGCTAGCTTAATCTCTAATATCACCTTGAAACTTTATTACATTGATAGATTAAAGTGCTAATACCAGATAGTGAGTTCACAGATAAGGCTTTAAACCTTAGGCAGGTTTTTGTAATACATAAAGGAAAACAAATAACAAAACAAACTGCAGCTAAGGTTTAAATACAGCTAGTGCTTAAAAAACACTGGGTCCAACTTTAAAATTTTAAAATTTTAAGCTAATTCTCAAATTCTTAAAAGAAGGCTCCCCCCGCACACAAGAAAGTAAGCAGTTACATACGTCCTGTAATTGCTGGGACTATTCAGTGGGAGTCCCCTTTAATCCAAGCCAAGAAGGGCTAAATTAACATTTGAAATTAAATTAGCATTTGAAGTAAAAAGGCAGCCTGGGAAGGACAGGCATTCTTGTCTAAGCAGCTCCTTTTCAGCAATACCTATTGTTTTATATATATATATATAAATTAGCATTTGAAGTAAAAAGGCAGCCTGGGAAGGACAGGCATTCTTGTCTAAGCAGCTCCTTTTCAGCAATACCTATTGTTTTTTTTTTATATATATA